AAAAGAGTTGTTTGGGATTATTCCAAACACAAAATAGTGACTTTTCTTGAAAATAATGTTTTTAAGAATTTTTTATTTTATATTTTGTTCATATTTGTATATGGGTCATTCCACAAAGTTGAGATACAAAGTGTGACATTGGGGTCAAATTTTCAAATTACTTGTACAAGTTTTGATTATGCATTTTTTGATGGCCCATACATTGTGGTTTAACAATTCATTCAAATTTAAGTCACATGATTTTGGAAAGTTGGTAAATTTGTACACAATATGTATTTACATGTAATGACTATGGAGAAGTTGTGGATGTAACCGGAGGCTACCGTCCTGTTACATCCAAACCTTGTTTTGTTCTTAAATAATACTTCAAATGCTTCAAATTCACACCAAACTTGAGTTTATCATCAAATAGCTTCATTTAATAATATCCATACTTATATACTTTTAAAGAATGCTAAAATTGTTATTTCCAACAATAACAAAAAAAATAATGGTTGAAGATGTAACATGTGGGACATCACTACATCACAATGCGGTATTCTTCACCTCGATATGAATGGAACTAAATGTTGTTTGTGTTTAGAAATGTTGTTTCCAAATCTCTGTTTCAAGGGCACTTGCAGATTGCAGGTCATGATTTTCATACTTATTTTAGGCATGACCATGTCAACCGGTTGTGGATGTAACATGGACACCATGTGCCAACAGGCATAAGATTTCTTCATATTTGGCCAAAACATTTATTTGCATAGACTACGATCACATTATTTTACAAATACCAGTTCAATCATGAAATATTGGGGTCAATCCGACCAAAATTGCTGCAAAAAGAAATATTTGCAAAGGCCAGTTGTGGATGTAACATAATTTGAAACAAGGGACACCATATGTTACATCCACAACCCATTTTAAATTGTGCATGCCATTTTGGCAAAACATTTTAACACCTGATATTTTTGTTCAATAGAAAGGGTACATCTGCTTGCTATAATTTGTGTAAAACCTCAACTCCAGTCCACTTGTTTTCTTTTCAAAATGAGTTATTTTTGAACTGTAGGTTGCTTTGTCACACTTTTTCCTCATTTTTTTTATGCCGGACGCCATAACATTTACAGAATTTGGGTATGAAAGTTATTTTTGAATATCATCAAGCATGGTATCATTTAAAAGCTTATCTTATAGCCTTATTGTCAAATGATATTTGTTTTAGAAATAACCATTCCATAACAAAGAAAAAACTGTTTTATAATCAGACCTCAGAAAAGTATGGCCTGTTCCTCTTGAACTTCATGGAATGACCCATAAACATTGGTGCAACGGTTGGTGGGAAGATCAATTTTAAAAAGTGCAAAAAGATGAAGGAATAACTGATTGGACCCAGCATTGAAGGGGGGGGGTGGGTGGTTACAGAAAATGTTTTCAGAATTATATTAATTGAACATTAAAACTACTAAAGGAAATATGAAACCAATGGTTGTTTTTTTTTCTTCAAATAAAGCACGAAGAGTAACTGACTACATGTAGGTGCATTGTAATTGTTTTCATATTTTTTCATATAATTAAAAAAACAACAACAATATTCTGACATGTTTGGATGTTAATGAAGTGTGGTGTCAAATTCACTTTCTATGCTTTGCAGTGGTTGAAAATGTTGAAAGTTTCTCTTTATTTGCATACTTTTTATATTAATAGACTGGTTTTGCATTTATATCTGTAATCACATATTAAAAGGCCTAGTACTCTTAAACATAACTAGACAAACTTTCTTTTTTTGCAAGTAGGGCATGTCCAAGAAAAGGTCCCCTTGTGGTCCCATACGTAGGGTACCATGTCTTCTTCATCACAAAGAAAAATGGTTGTGGGTACAGTTTTCTCCTTTCAGACACCCAACAGAATACATTAAGAAATGCACTGATCTAATTGATTTTTAGAGGGTTAAACTTTCGTGGGACGTAGCGTGTGTGAATTCTTGGACTTGCCCAGTAATAGCCTGATGGAGTAGACATGGATTGCATTCAGGTTCCATATTAAAATACATGATGTTGATATCTCACAATTGTTTCTGGTGTGATCATTTTGTGTCAGTCACATTCTGTTGTGTTGCATTTTACCTTAAGATGAGTATGTGAGGAAGAGTGTATAGTGTGTGACTTTCTGGTTTGCTCAGAATTGAATGGTTCAAACCCACCATCGTCCCTGTGCTCTTTGACAGATATTCAAACACAATCCAGCCCATGTGTTTATCGGATACCCGATTACCCTATTATCCGTAAACTCCCAGCCCTACTTCAGTGAGGGACTTTCTTCAAGTGGGCATGGGGTCGAGATCACATGATTTAGATGGACAGTGCATAATAAGTTGAGTTAATTCCTCCTCAGTAACAAGATCAAAACTGGACATGCTACCATGCAATGAATTCATACCAACATTAATGTTAATGTGTCGACCTTGTGATCGATTCACTGTCTGGAAAGTTGTCCGTCTTACAATTATGTCGTTCTCATGACAGAATTTGCGAATATTGGCTATTGAAGAGCCGCGCCAAACTCCAATTTCCTTCAAAATATCTGCAATTTCTTCATACGTCTTACCACCCTGTATCCATTCTGAAATTTCCTCCTTGAAATTTTCCAGTGCCATTTTTGCTTGCAACTCTTTAAGCCCCACCAATTAATCTCAGTAGATGGGGGTCAGGGTTATGCCAGGAATCACACCACGCATTAATTATGCTGAGGTAACACTTCTTCGTGCACGGCATGGTCCCCCGGCCTCCACCCTCCTCCCCCTTGCCCACCGCCACAAAATGCACCACAGACTGTTAACTATGACACTGAAATAAAAAATAAAAACAGTCTGTATTCAAAACTGACCGTTTTGCTGTTTTTCAAAGTTAATTGTGTAAAACTGAAAAACAAAAATCATTGATCGTTATGCTGTAATGAATTTTACTAAACTGCAAAACGAAATAACGGTATTTATCTTAAAACCGTTTGGCCGTTTTACAAAACTGTAAAACAACATAACGGTATGTCCCGGGATTCTCAATCATGTGTAAGGTGTGAAGTGCACAGATGTGTTTAAGCCTGATTCAATGATTCGTGGACAAACTGATTTTCATTGAATGTTGGGAAAAAACTCTATCTCCCGAACCACAAAGGCAAAGTTGATGAAACAAAAATGAGATGATTGCTAAAACCTTGTAGTTTGTGTTTCTTTCTTTAAATTGGTTCATATTTATCTTTAAATTGACGAGAAATAAAACAATCTGTTTACATGGTACTGATCTTTTTGAATCACCCTGTACAGCTTACAGTTCTCTAACAGTGCTTGGGCCCTAGTGCTGACGTACACATTTACTCTCAGCTGAGTGTTGTGCCCTAACCGGCACAAAGTTATGGGAAATTTCCTAACGGGGAAATTAGGACTGAGTTATGGGGACTTTAATTCTGCTCCCCGTATAGTGTCTTCAGTTCCCATAATAGCTATCGCTCAACAGGTGTGTGGTCCCCACAGCTACGGAACAAGATTGCCGTATGTGTGGAGTGTTCAGTGTGGGGTTGATGTACAGAGGGAAACGTTACAATGCTAGTACTTTTATTACAACTTTAATAAGCTACAGCTAGGCAGGCGCGGATCCATGGGGGGGGGGGGGTTAGGGTTAAAACTCCCCCCCTCCCACTCACACCAAAAAACAGAAACAACGTGACTAATAATATTTACCTATATGTCCGCCTGTCTGCAACACTCGAACACAGAGGCATAGCCAGCGGGGGTAAGGGGGGTATTTGTACACTATTGTGTGATATAGTGTGCCTGCTTGTCTGAATTGAACAGCGCCCCCATTGGAAGAATGGTACCAGCCCCCGGAGTGTCCGGAGGAAAAAAGCTGTCTATACATTTCAGCACTGATTTAACTGATATAAAAAAATCTGAACCCCCCCCCTGCAAAAATTTCTGGATCCGCCCCTAACAGGTCTGTATTTTTATGCCCCGCCGGTGAACAGTGGTAAACACAGCCTTTGTAAAACGGTACCCCAGAAGAGAAATGCTAAACTATTTTTTTTTTTTTTCATGAGTTTGCCAATGATTCAAACACAGCTGCCGGTATTCATCCCTGCTTATTCCTCCATGGTTAAAATTTTATTGAATATCTGATTTTTGTTCTTTCCATTTTTATTGAGTGCAGGTTTGAGCTGTGCTTTCCAGTGAACCAAAATGCTCCCCAGCTGCAAAACAGGGTTTCTCATCTTAACCTCGCCAATAAACCAACTCATCAAACGAATCAGTCCCATACTGTGCCATGCCGCCAGCTGCATATTGGAAACACTCTACGTACAGCTGCATCCTGGCCTTGACCACGAACTGGAACCGTACAAACAGAGACTGATTCCCGTTAGCAAGATGTCTGCGCAACCATCACTGCAATCTACGCCAAGTCGGCGCAGCTACAAGGGCACGATGTCGGAGTACTCGTAAACAATATAAGTAACCGGTCTGGCACCTTGCCTACCACTAGAATTCTCAAAGGAGAAGTCGGTCTGGTACTGACTGACTGCTCCTCTCCAAACAAACTCCAAGCGTTACTCAAGTCGTGGTTTGTATTCCCAACAAATCCTGATGTGGAAATCATACCAGAGTCTGTCTGGTTGAATGTTAACAGTTCTGCACCGATGGATGCTGATGCTAAGCCTAACGAAGTGGACTGTTCACCGGTTAAGAGCTACTGAAGTGTGGTTCTAGGGGGAACGTTCGATCGCATCCAGTTGGACATAAAATCCTGCTGAGCGAGTCGGCGATGAGAGCAGAAGAGAAGATTACAGTTGGTGTGACAGACATATCCATGCTGCAACGTAAGAAGGCATCAAATCAAGTATAAAACAACCTTTATTACTTTCTTTCTCTTCATTGGCTGCGAGTAGGTCATGTATGGTGCTCAGTATTTTATTATTAATACAACACCTGAATATGTCCCCCTCATCTGATTGCAGGGAAAACACCATCAAGTTGATCCAGCCAATGGATGCACGCATCGCGTCTGTCCGTGACTTCATCCACGATATCAAACCACGCATCTTACAGTCAGACTCCATCGTGCCCATCACGGATCCTTACGGCCCCAGCGTGGTGGATCCAGACATGAGGTGCATTGTGGTCAGTGAGGAGACCAAGAAAGGTGGAGATGCTGTCAATAGGGTCAGACAGGACAAGGTATGTGCCAGCTTGTATGCTTAGTTAGGTGAAACAATACTATTTGTTTCATTGCTGGTTCCATTGGGCCTATCTAGTGTCTTCTTTGCACATCTAACTGAATGACTCACTGTCTGTTAGTTTGGGAAGAATTCTAGTTAAAGGCAGAGTATGAGCTATCCAAAAAGTAACTGACGAAATTGATGAGGGCCTATCTTCTTGGCACATCTAACTGAATGAATCACTGTCTGTTAGTTTGGGAAGAATTCTAGTTTCGCGGTAGAGTGTATCATTTACAGCTATCCAAAAAGTAACTGACAAAACTATTGATGGTTTACTTGGTTTAAAGATATTAATGGCATTAAACTCCCTGTGAAATTATTCGTTCTGGCATGCTGTCTTTTTGAAGAAAACACTAAAAGGTCGTCTTTTGCAAAGATGCATCTGAAGACGCGTATTTTTGGAAATTTCTGTCAGTAGTTCGTTTCGAATTCGGCGAAGCTGTGAATGGGTTCGCGCAGGCATTGACATGACGCACACGTTTGCGCGGGTGCTGTAATGCTTCGGTTCAGTACTTGACATCATGTAGCTGGGGCACTTTTGTTGCTTTAAATGAAAAAAATGCTCGAATGACAAATGACATACTCTACCTTAAAATTATTGTAGCAATACCAAAAAATTTTTTAAGAGATTAAAATGCACCCCTTCCACCCCCATCCCCCAAAAAAGGAACAAATTTGAAGAAAATATTTTGACTTTTGGGAATATTTATATGCGTATTTCAAGATTTGAGAGTATTATTGTGATATAATTCATAATTCTTTTTTTTTAATCTTGCATTCAGGGCCTATGTGTACTAGACGTACATGAGATATCTCTAGTAGAGGACATCAATCATGCTGCACATGGAGAAGCTAAGATAAGTCCCTCAACACAAAGGATTGGACTCCTGGGAACACTGCTCAAGCAACCCACGGTGAGTAATGCAGTGTTGCATTCATGTTGCATTCAGGGTCTGTGTGTACTAGACGTACATATCTCTAGTAGAGGACATCAATCATGCTGCACATGAAGAAGCCAAGATAAGTTCCTCAACACAAAGGATTGGACTCCTGGGAACACTGCTCAAGCAACCCACGGTGAGTAATGCAGTGTTGCATTCATGTTGCATTCAGGGTCTGTGTGTACTAGACGTACATATCTCTAGTAGAGGACATCAATCATGCTGCACATGAAGAAGCCAAGATAAGTTCCTCAACACAAAGGATTGGACTCCTGGGAACACTGTTCAAACAACCCACTGTGAGTAATGCAGTGTTGCATTCATGTTGCATTCAGGGTCTGTGTGTACTAGATGTACATGAGATATCTCTAGTAGAGGACATCAATCATGCTGCACATGAAGAAGCTAAGATAAGTTCCTCAACACAAAGGATTGGACTCCTGAAAATACTGCTCAAGCAACCCAAGGTGAGTAATGCAGTGTTGCATTCATGTTGCATTCAGGGTCTGTGTGTACTAGACGTACATGAGATATCTCTAGTAGAGGACATCAATCGTGCTACACATGAAGAAGCTAAGATAAGTTCCTCAACACAAAGGATTGGACTCCTGGGAACACTGCTCAAGCAACCCACGGTGAGTAATGCAGTGTTGCATTCATGTTGCATTCAGGGCCTGTGTGTACTAGACGTACATGAGATATCTCTAGTAGAGGACATCAATCATGCTGCACATGAAGAAGCCAAGATAAGTCCCTCAACACAAAGGATTGGACTCCTGGGAACACTACTCAAGCAACCCACGGTGAGTAATGCAGTGTTACATTCATGTTGCATTCAGGGCCTGTGTGTACTAGACGTACATGAGATATCTCTAGTAGAGGACATCAATCATGCTGCACATGAAGAAGCCAAGATAAGTCCCTCAACACAAAGGATTGGACTCCTGGGAACACTGCTCAAGCAACCCACGGTGAGTAATGCAGTGTTGCATTCATGTTGCATTCAGGGTCTGTGTGTACTAGACGTACATGAGATATCTCTAGTAGAGGACATCAATCATGCTGCACATGAAGAAGCCAAGATAAGTTCCTCAACACAAAGGATTGTACTCCTGGGAACACTGCTCAAGCAACCCACGGTGAGTAATGCAGTGTTGCATTCATGTTGCATTCAGGGCCTGTGTGTACTAGACGTACATGAGATATCTCTAGTAGAGGACATCAATCATGCTGCACATGAAGAATCCAAGATAAGTTCCTCAACACAAAGGATTGGACTCCTGGGAACACTGCTCAAGCTACCTGGAGTAAGGTTTTAGGCCCAAAGGTTGACCCTTTTTGTAAAGTGCTTTGCTCTGCTAACCAAGGAATAGGCGTGATTCACCACAAAGAGACATTGTACTCAGTTCAAGTGTGGTTTATTAATTAAAAATCCACATTTTGCAGCATAACATGAATTACAGTCCACAAAAAAAAAGGATGGAGAAGGTTCAATAGACCGCTTGCAGACGCGTTCGATAATCGACGCGCGAAGGCGCGCGACGCCATTTTGTCCCATAACATGGCGTCGCTCACCTTAGCGCGTCAATTATCGAACGCGTCTGCAAGCGGTCCATTGCATATATGAGAGTACTAAAACCACCAGATTATTGACACAACCTATTACGTTACAAAACTGTTTCATAAACTTGTATTCTGAAAAAGATACACATATATTACAAAAAGTTATAAAATGGTTTAACAAATTTAAAAACACTAATATTTTTAAATGGCTTGAGGAATTGAACAAAGGTGATAGAGTGCTAATTTTCATTGGGTTTTGTTACAATGAAATTTGGTATTTATGCACGGTGCCCATGTGTGCAGTATGCAGGGCTTAATGCAGACTTGGCCAAGTCTGGGTTGCGCTCGGGCGGTGCCTATAGTAAATCCACTCACAGCGCATATCGCATACGTCCTTACAGTACATAACGCGCGCCCTCATGCATCGAATCCGGACCATCATGTTAAAAACGTACATGTACATGTTATTTTCAAGTGATGCAGCAACCCAGACACGGTCAATTGGCCAAGCGTACGCGCTGGTTTGTTCCACGTTTGTACGCAGTCTATGGAAATTAATTTTTGCTGTGATTGGCTTTCTTAAATTTTTTTAATATTATTCCTAACACACAATTAGCCTTGTCTGCGTGTATTTGCGCAGCCAAAGTTTCGCGGAGAACGCACACGCATCCCATGGTGAGGAGTAGAAACCGATACACGCACACGTACGTTCAAATGCTTTGAAACGGCTCTGGGTACGCACAACACGAAGCGGTATCAATGGATCTCAACATCCTTTACAGGTTAACCCCAATAAAAATTCCCTTTTGTTTTGAATAACATTTGAATGTCGTATTCTTTACTAATTCAATCCAAGAGCAGCTGATCTTAGCATTATCATCCCAATATAATGTGTTTGAAATCTACAGATTAAGATAACGTTTTAAAAACTTTTGCAGATTGTTATCCAAGCTTCCATACCTACTGAAAATAATAAACGAGTCTTCAAAAATTGGTTACTTTGATTGGTCAAGCGATGTTGCTGCTTATGCATAGAGATAGTGTTGCATATGCATTGATGAATACAGGCGCGTGCACGCGGGGGGGGGGGGGGGGGGGGGGGGGGGGGTGCAGATGGCAGATTGATCAAGTCGGAATTGCTCACTTTTGCACCACATGTATGCACATGCTCTGCAATACATGCACACACTTGTACTAGCACGCGTGTTGTACAATGAAGTGTGCATTGTCGTTCTTGTAAAACTAAGTGATTTTTGTGAACTTTTTTAAGATACCGCCTTAAAGCAATTCCGACTTGAGTCGATTCTAGCCTCAGGTCGACCTGTGATTTGCTTGCAACGCGACGGAACTATTTCATTTATAGTGTCTGTGATGGTATCTGGCATGCGCTGCGTATGCGCTATGCACTGTATGAAGCACTATTGACAAATGCCTTGGCCAAGGCTAGTTCATTCACAGCACAAGTAAAAGGCCAGTCAGGAAGCGGCCTTAGTTTAGCCGTTGCCTTCAACAAACCTGTTTTGTTTCTGCCCTTACACTAAACGTTTTGATTTTTACACATTGGACTGAATCAGTTCAATGAAAATGCCTTTATTGTAGGTTACTCTCAAATATTTAGTTATACAGGTGCCCCCCCCCCAAAAAAAAATCACCCACAAACAAAGGGATGATATGAACAAACAATGAACTTAGTTTAATGGAATAAATATGCGCTTGGCCGGTTTGAAACATTAGTATGTTTAAAACCAGCTGTGGTCTGGTTGCCAATAATGACCCGGCCGAAGGCGAGGGCCATTATCTGCTTCCAGGCATGCCATGCCCCTAGCCAGTTTGAAACATACAGCCAAGCACATAGAAATTCCCACTCATAAATACCTTTTGGTCAAAAAGTCAAAACAAGTCACAAATTTCCAGCAACTTTGTTCAGCAATTTACTTCAGGTTTGGTGAAACACCCCTCTGGCAATGTCTATGTACATGTCTTGTGCCCGCAGTGCTAAGAATCTCCTATGGAAATTGGCGCGCTTGGCACGGACTGCACTATGTGGTGCAGAACACAGGAATTAAGTTTAAAACCACCCACATTACGGGCTCTTGACCAATAAGAATGGGTAAACTGTCTCAGGTATTTATGAATTATCATGAACTAGGAGCATTAAGCTTTCCATTGATATCTAGGATGCATTCCTCTGGTCATACATCACCAAGTTCCATTGATTTGAAAATGGTATGTGCAAACCCTCTTTGGACAGTTTGGGGTATTAAGGGGCACATCAGCGTTAGTTTGTGAAAACGAAAATGTATGGATTAATTGCACGCATCCAGTGCCACACTGTGCCGGCTGTTACATCGTGAAAACAAAAATAACGTGGTTCTGTAAAATACGCGTGCGTGCTGGGCACCCACGCATAACTGAGGGTATTACTTCTTGGTTTCTGTAACGAATTGTCCACCTCATGCTAAATGCTGATCTGCAACACTGAACACTGGCAGGGTCCATGAAGTGAATTTTATTGAGGAACATATTTTGTGGTATCTGACCTTTAAGAAATGTCAAAGGTCACTTGTTATGATACTTTATCCGCATCATTATATTAAAAAACTACATGGCTTTTTGAATTGCTGGAAGAATTTTGAAAGATTTTACATGATCAAAATGAATGGTGTAAATAGAGTTGATTTGTTAGGATAATATAAAAGGTTGTGAAAGTCAAGGGCTTTTTGATGTTCAATAGATTTAGCACTCACAATAGCCACATTAGTTTGCTTAGCCTACAGATATGCCCCAACTTGGTCGTTAATCCCAACATAATGTTGGAACTGTCCCAACTTGGGTGATCCAGTTGGGCATGCCTAACGTGGGCAACAACCTTATTTCCATGAATTTGACGAGCAAAACAATGATAAAAGTAAAGTAGGCCCTTGGGATGAGGTTTGGTGGGACATGGCTAGGATGCTTTTTCCTACCATCCAGACGGGAGGACCAAGGGCACACGCTCAGGCTGGGCCTTGGAGCTCAGAGGCAGATCAAACATGTCGTCTTTTTGGAGCAACTTCCAGGGTAGCCTTGTAGAAATATGGCTCAGTTTCTCTGATGACACTTTACAGCACATGGCGGTGGATGTGCTCATCACGTACGTGTAGCAGTGCCCAACCCAAGTTAGGCCTGCCCATTGCAACTTGAATGATCTAGTTTGGCTCAAGTTGGGACAGTCCCAACATAAGCTGGGTCTGACGACCAAGTTGGGGCATAACACATGTATGAAGACTCTTGAAGTCATTTTGTGGTCTAATTTCTTGTTTGCAAATCGACAAAAGTGTGAAAAGTGAGGACCAACATTATCTCTCTTGTTTGATAAGCTGTAGGATAATACACAATGGGAACATTTCCATATCTTTCGCTCATTTCTA